TGTTACACAAGACTGTCTAACTTGTAAAACATCTAGTTGATGAAATCTTGGTTGTCGTCAGTTTAACTCGACCGTTGAGGCTCAAGTTTTAGCCACATGTTTTAAACGCTTGTCGTAAATTTACCTGCTTACTCTCGATACTCTTGCACCGAAAAAATAAAAAGGACATTAAAATGTGCTTGGAAATGTGACATATTCACTCATCGGTTTGTTTTACAGCAAACCTTAAAGTTATTTTAATCTTCATCAACGACGGTGGGTTGCTCATAATCTAGTAAGATCTCATGACCGTCGTGGTTAGTAAAAACGAGCTCTCCTCTGGAAGTCACTTGCAGAATGCCGGCTCCCATCAACGCCGTAATCATGTTATCAAAGATGACGTCTGTGAATTCGTGGTGGCTCTCCTCAAATACCAACATGTTTAAGACGAAGACTGCAAGAACTACACCAATAACGGCGCCTAAGATAGGATTGAGAATCCAGAATGCGCTGGTCACAACAACCCAACTACCAATGGCAAATCCCAGCCTGCAACGGAAAAAGGACATTCTGATCAACTTTTTCGTCTAAGAATTGTAACCTGTTTGCCTTTTGCAGTTTTCCATTTCATACCAATAGTTCTCAGAACAGTTAGTTTTTGTCTCTGTACGTTCAAACTTTGAAATGTGACAGATCATAATCTCTTGCATAGGAAGCGTGCCGGAAAAATTAGCTCCAAAGAAGAGAAAATCACTGGGAAATGAAAGGCCCGAGAAAAAAGGCGCAGATCTAGCAAATGGCAACGTGGGATGACAAAAGATGCAGGAAAGAAGGCAATTCTTCATATCATATCATATCTACGTTTTCTCCAACGAGACCCGCAGTGATTGAATAGACTGTTTTGAAAATCGTCTGTAGGGAACTTTCCTTTAAGTTCGGTTTGTCGCTTTTTTGTTGCTTGGAAAGTATGTTACGTTGACGTCCAACGACAAGAGGTAAAGACAGTCGAGCGTGGAATAGAATTTGAATTTTGTTAAGTTACAATTAGTGCCTTAAAGTATCGCTTTAATTACTCGCTCTTTAAGTACTTATTGAAAGATTCGTTTCGGAATTCAATTCAATAATTTGCCACACTCAGTTAATTAGACCTTCCTCCTTCCTACGTTAATGTTATTTTGTAGTAAGAGCACTTACTGCCTTCTTTCAGCGTTAACAAATAAAAACTTAACAAATAAAAGCTCGTTAGTAACTAATTACATTAGATATAAGATTTAGTCAACAAATCAGCCATCCTGCGTGGCCAAAATTTATCCCGACACAAACTTGTCTGCAAATTTTTGAGACTCCAAACGTAATTATTCTCTTCGAAAGGGACGGGAAAATGTTATTCTTTAGGATGCGAGTTGAATGTGTTAATACAACCATGTAAGGTGGTTCAGGAGTAGTACGTTCGCGCAAAAGCAGCCAAATTTAGATTATGGTTCAACAAACACAATGAGCGCCTCAGAGCACGCCCAACTCTCTTTGTGAATGTGAGTGAGAGAGAGAGAGAGAGAGAGAGAGAGAGAGAGAGAGAGAGAGAGAGAGAGAGAGAGAGAGAGAGAGAGCCATAGGAATGGGCACTTTTGTAACCAAAAAAGGGAACTTTTGTAACCCCATAGGGAACTTTTGTAACCAAGGTAGGGAACTTTTGTAACCTAAGGCACTTTTGTAACCTAATTGGGGCACTTTTGTAACATTCGATAGGGCACTTTT